GCGTTCCGATTAGTAATTTCTGATACCCGTACGGGAGAGGTTAGTCGCGGGCTTGCTTGGTGGTTGACTTCGACAGTTTCGTTGTATTATTTTTTTTTCCCCCGCCACATAATTCCAATAATACATCACTTGTAACACATTTGCCATCAGGAAGTGTGCGTAATACCCAGGACGCAAATGTATACGTATAACACAGTTGCTGCGCCTGACTAATGATAATTAAAAAAAGAAAAAAAACAGCACGCTCATAATTCGTATTAACGGTAGTCTAATAATTGCAATCAATGACTAATTTCTCGACAAATATACGCATTATCGCATAATCTAATTTATAAATAATAAAAAAAAAAAAATTATGAATTCGACGTCGTCAGGCGTATTTGTATTTGTTTTGCGGTACAATTAAAAATAACATTATTTAATCATCGTTATATTTGCTAACTCTATTCAACAAAAATTAGAAATAATACTTCATACTCGAAAAAAAGTGCATTCGCGTTACTATAAAGTAAATGTAATTTGCATTTTTGTGTAAAATTAAAATATACATTATTGATAAGATTTCACTTTTTTTTTTTTATTTAAAGTGTATTTGAAAACAGATTTCTAAAATCAGCAATCTAAATTATTACTTTGTTTTACTATTACTACAGATTATAATAATCACGAATTAAATATATTCATAAGCCGAGACATCGTGCCCAGTACTGATATTGAATTCAACACAGACATTTCGGATATATCTACACGGGTTTATTATTACGTTTTGAATTTCTAAGTCGATGGCGTCCGACTTAGTGCGCCTGCTTATAATTTGAAAAACTGTTTTTAGCCCATTGTTACGTTGAAAAATCCGAAATGTATTATGTCATCGTGCATTTTACACACGCACTCACACACACACACACACACACACACAATATATCTTGCTATCAATATTAATAACCCGTCGTAAAGCGTTTAAAAATAATATTCAATCTACATGTATTGAACATTATAAGATATTCTACCACTTCACAAATCAATATCTACGATATTTTAACGCGTGTTCCTGTATTGTCTGTCGGTGAGCTCATCTTAATAATATACGCATTAAGTACTTGGTAGTCGGCCGCACATGGTTTTCCAGTTTTGTCTTCCGTTTCTTCGTTCCGAAACCGGTTCTTTAACGTTCACTATACATGTATTTTTCGTAAAATAATACAGAAAAAATACACGTATGTTTACCTATGAATATAGATTTTTTTTTCGTCTCATTGTACGTACACAACATATACGTGTATTATGTTTATTTATTTTATTATTTTTTAACAGTTTTTATTCCTGTGTGTTATTTTCCTTTCAGGGTCAGACGATGGCCACACACAAGAAATACACACAACACGCTGCGTGCGTAGTACACCTACACTGCATCTGAATATCACATATTATCATGTTGACTCCGAACCGTAGAGGCGTACACTTTTCACTCGTATCAGCTACATTTCGAAAGACAATATCAAAGCGTGAACCTACCGCGTGATAAAAGCGTTTTTTAATAGTTTTAACAGTTCTGCAACAACCGTAATACGACACGAATACAGCGATTTCAAGGAGGCATTCGATAGAATTATAAAACTTAAAACATAGTTATAGATATTTTGACACTCGCATAGTTGCCGACGATACGCGTTTTAAGTTGTGATACATGCACGTCTGAATCGGACTGGAATCCTTCGACGCGAAACCGCGTTTGAAAAATATGAACTGTTTTAAACGAGTCACCAAAAACATAAAGGGTTGATTTATTATTTTCATTTTAGATTACCTGTACCGTACAGATTTAGTAACGAAAAAAGCGAATGAAACGTATTATTTATCTCGACAAACTAGTATAAATTCAGCGTATTGGTCTATTCGAAACTATAAAGAATATATACTCTACCGGTCAACGTTCATGGATACGATTGCGAAATCCGATAAGTTGTTGACAAGAAATCAACCTTTATTTTTTTTTCTCCGAGTACGAATCGTCATCAGCAACGTGAGCTTCGTAAGGCACCTAAGACTCGAGTTCTGTAGTCAAAACAAACGTGGTTGGGAGGGTTGGATGGTCGTCCGCCTTGATCGTTGATTTCGAAAAGATCGCGTGAAAAATCGGGGGAAAAAAAGCCATGGGAGGTAAGTACGCGTTCGCAAAACCCCGTCAGCGCGATCGTTATGAACGATCGTGACACGGCATCCTGTCACGAGCACGTGAACTGGGTTAAGCGATCGAACCGACGAAAGTCGCGAAGGCGTGTGCAAAGTTGCAGCCCGGACCGTCGGACGCTGTTTAGGCATTTTAAGTTATTGTCCGTTGCACAATGCGCGGTCCGGCCCGTGCACGTAGGAAGAATAATGCGCGTCGTTCGAGAGCGTCGGGGACTTGTTGATTCTACTCGTACGTATACGCCGTCGCTGCTGCTACCGTTCCGATAACAATGCTTGGCATATTATTATACGTATACGTTTCTCCCTTCCCCCATCCCCTCCACTAGCCCGGAATAAAAATAAAAAAATAAATACATTAGTATAATCAAATGTACAGGTATTATTATTGGCTATTTTTTTATTTTTTTTTTTAACGTGTCAACATAACAGTAATTGTGCAATTTCTGGACGCATGGGCTTACACACACACGGCCGACGGCTGCACATACACGATGTGTCAACCTCGCCTTTCTCTCGGGACTAAAAAAAAAATATATTTATATATATATAATAATAGTAACGCACACGCGCGGACGGACGGCAAAAATAATTACCCCACGTGACTTAATTAAAAATCGTTATGTTATACAAGTTTGTATTGTGCGCAGCATTGTTAGAAACGTACTCGCGTATCGGTCCGCGCACAGGACACCGTCCCACCTTCTTCTCGTCATCGCCTTTACGTGCGCGTTATGAAATAGTGTTACCGTAAAATGATTCGCACACGACAGACCGGGTCCGTGTGGCCTCCGAGCCCGAAAGATTATACGCGCTTTTTGTGTACTGCAGATTGTACGACCCGCAGTGACGGCTTTAAAATGGGGTGAGTGAGCGCAAAAGCCACACCTCTCCTGCACATGAAGTTTTCTAGACGAACGCCCGTACCATTCGGTTTTCAGTGGGGGGGGAAGGGGGTGGGTAAGAAATTAACTTCAAAACGCTGTTGGAGAACAGCATGTGCTCGCGCGTTAATACACGCACGGAATCGTGTACTGTTATCGAAAAATATGTACGGGTACGCTTTTGACGGATCGAGCTGATAGAGTGTACGGTCGGTTTTTAATAAACATTCCGACATGTATGCTCACCCTTGTTTGATTCTGTGAAACCATCCCTGTACGAAAATGCCTTCGATCGTACGGTGTACGGGTTTACTTCGGGCAACGGCAATGATTGTCGTGTGCGTCGCAGAATTTCGCACCGGTATACTGTACAACAGTAACATTGACGATAAATATACTCGTATATAAATACATAAACCGTGTTGTTGGTGCGATGATAACGATAATGTATGGTACCACGAGTGAGAACTATAACGATAATATAATTTTCAACCATGATACATTTATTAAAATAATTAAAGCTAAGGGAATTGTTGGAATTTGCACGTACAGCCGTTCAAAACTTAGTGATGTAGAAACTTGTTACTGTAATACACAACGTAACGTGCGATACGACCGGCCAAAATTACTTCAACAATGCAATACGCGTGAAAAACATTATACGCTATCCTGACGGGAAATCTACCCGATTCCTATTACCAAAGCAGATTTATCGATTTCACGCATACAGATTCGTTGTTACAATCATTCGAGTCCATAGTTGCGGACACATGTTTGTTTGTTCTGTGACACGAGTTCTCGTGATGGAGTTTTGAAATAATTTGTAACACGAAAGGCGTGCACATAATAATATATGGACGAACGCTAAATATTGCAAAAAAAAAAAAAAAAAAACAATTAATTCGGTCTTTTCGATAATACAACAAACAAATATTTTTTTCTGGGATGAATTGACGGTTTTCAACGTTTTTTTTTTTTTTTTGTTCTTTCTTTCTATCAACATCCGATAATATTCGCGCTACTGACCGTATACACCTCACATCTAGCATATCAATTACACTTCCTGCCAAAACAATGACAGTTGATTGAACTGTCAGGTTGCCAATGCACTTAACATTGCAAAGCACGTATGCGCACTTTATGAGTATATACAATACAAAAATAATTAATCACACATAAGCCGCTAGAATACATTTTGGTTTGTTGAAATGAATTTGAATTTGTAGTCGGGCATAATTTTAAAAATACTCTATAGCCTATAAAAAAAAAAAAAAAACGATAATCATTGAAGCCTAAACATAAATAATATTTCAATTGTTGTAAAACATAATAGACAATTTTTTACAAACGCATTTCAAATTTAATTTCAAATATCCAGTTGAAACCGTTTATGAAAATCAAAAATAACCAGGTTTTACGACATCGCGGCAAGTTGGCCACACCCCTCGTACCTACACGTGAGCAGTACATACAATCGTTTTTGAATTTATTATTAAAATTAATTTATGAATACACAAACACTGCACTGGGTAACTGATCGAGAAAGCAATCCTAGTATCGATATTTTAACCGCTTTCTATTTAATTATAGAAACACTATATCACCACACATATTATACCAGTGGCGTCAATTTTCACTTTTTTGCATAACAAACAGTATTATATATCGAAACGGCGTAATAATAATACACTTATGCAATGCTGCTGCATTTTTCCCTCCGGGAATTTCATACCTAAACCCCATGTCTATTTATCCGTAGACTTTAACGCGCACCGCCCGTTGAACCCTATAATATTGTACATGCAGACTAGTTAGTTCTTTTCGGTTATCGCACCGTTTTCGTGACAACGGTACGATTTGTAGATTATTTGTATAAAACATTTGTTCGGTCCGCGTGCAATAAATAATAATAAGTAAAAAAATTACCATTTTTATTCGTCAAAATCCAATAGTGAGTGCTGCCACTCGGTCACTGTTGTTCACGCACAAACCGCCCGGAACACATTTACGATTGCGAGGGATGTGTGTAAGTAATGTTTACGGTATTTGTGTTTACGTTTTTATTTTATATACGTTTCGGAATGTATAGTAAAATTGCACGAGAAAAAAATCGAATTCTCGAATGAAAAGACAAGTCAGAATCGCGTTGAGTCTAGATTGTAACTGACATCGGACAACGCGTCTTTGTCGGAGGTATGGCCGGCGTATATGTACGCTGCGCTACGAAAACGAGGACGTCAGACACTTGTCCTTTCTATTTTCCCCTCTCTCACCCTTCGGCACGCCGCGGCCGTAAAAAAAAATAAATAGTATACTATAAACAAGCAGTACAATATAACCACCACCTCGGCACGGAGATCGATATTATAGAACTGCTTATAAATGGAGTATAACTTTTTTATTTATTTGTTTTTTTTTTTTCGAAAAAGTAGCTCTCAAATCGTGTACGTATATATTATTGTATATAATCGGTATTGTATTATGTAAGCAATATTATTACCGCTTTATCATCATTATATGTATTTGGAGAAAACCGCTTTCCCCTCGGATGAATATATTCGCGTACAGAAAAATAATTCACAATTTGCTACCTAAGCTCCATGTAACAAGCGTAAATATTGCCCTGAACATCGTATATTAAGTTCGATGCCCAACGTAACATTTTACAGTTTATCATCACATTGTAATGGTGTGCATAGGATCCGAGTACATCTTATATACGAGACATTTAAAAGCATAAACATATTAATATGTCTATTAGTTTCAGATAACCCGGATCATAAATAATCGATAAAACAAAGTTACTACACGTAAAATATTTTCTCGATTTAAGGAGTGAACTATAACAATAAAGGGCTATCACCATGAGTCAGGAATTAATGACGATAATAACATAAACAAGTGATCAAATACGATCGTGATTGAATCGAAAAAAAACACTTTATTATCAATTTTTTCATTGGAATTTTAAATTCTGTACAAAAATGTTGAACATTTTTCACCAAAATCACATTAATAACTATACAACAAACAATAAACACTCGATAAAATCATTATTTTATATGTAAACAACGCATCATTAAGTTTTCAAATGTTGTTTATATAAAAAACTCTTTGGTGAATACGTAGTAGATATCAGAGTATGGCGTTATTCGAATACAATTTTATTTAGATGCTTATTTAGATAACATTTTATTCGAATAAATTATTATTTGGATGATTTTTCACAATTATTCGAATAAAATTGTATTCTTTACGAATAAAACATTCATTACATTCATAACATTCGTAATTTTTACTATTGTTATATTTATATCAAATCTTAGTTGGATTATCGTTTAGATGAAAGAATTAGGATTATACAATATCTGAACTCAATGGCTTTACATTTTAATAATACAGTCACAATAAGTCGAAACTCAAGACTGAGAAAATAATCCAGTTAAATTAATTCATATTATAATAGTTACGCCCTAATCATAATAAAATAAGATGCACACGGATGGAGCACCGCATGGAGTATTTAGTGTTGGAGAAAAAGAATCTGGTAGAATTAAACGAAATACTTGTAGAGTGGTGAGTAGAGCTTGAAGGAAAAATACTAAGTATATGTGTACACCCGAAGCGGTTTTAACCAAATCTAACCATCTCGAAATTAGATTTTAGAACAATTTAACAAAGAATTTATAAAACAAAGTATATTATGTAGTTGGATGATGATAGTACAAGTTACGTAGATAGATTTAATTTAAAGGTCTAATTTTAGTAGTGCAATTTATTATAAGTATTTATAATCAATGATACTATAAAATAATGGTGATTTTTAAATGAATATCCGTAGAGGTGGAAAAGGCAAATTACATATAGATAGAAGAATGAAGAGATGGCGAAGAATGAAAAAGAGAAGACAATTAGCTCAACATCTAATAAATTTCATAATTAAGTAATTAGTTAAAAGTCTAATTAAATTTAACTTCATCGCTCCACACGGCAAGGCCAGTTTTAGGACAGAAGAAGTCTTAGGGTTTCAGAGATTTAGGAAAGGAACTAAAACATACTACACCTATCCCTCTGTGATCCAATAACTCATATAAATGAAATATTTTACACTTTTTCTAATTTGTATCAAATACGTAATAAAACCCAATATTTACTAAACCTTTCAAAATTTTAAAATTAACGTTATTTTTGCTCTCTAGCGGTCATAAACAATGCGTATTGTTCGCGACCGTTAGAGAAAAAAACGTTATTCTGAAAAGTCCGTTAACATACGTTTTCCCGTTAAAATGTGCACATATTTTCCAAATTAGTATTTACAACTATATTTAGTCTAGAAATAAATTGGGAATAATTTTAAAATTTTAATTTCTTGAAGTGAATAAAAAAAAATTGATATGACGATGTTATATTTGTAATTAATGTAATGTTAATATTGTTATGCAATTCATCGGTGGACGACAATATTTTTATTTAATTTACTAATAATAATTCTTGTAATTCTCGTGGCATCTTTGAGTCACTCAACCAATTTACTAAAGTCGTTTACTAAAAAAGAATTTAAGTGCATAGATTTGTAATTGTAATGAAGTATTCTTAAAATTTTAGCTGAACTCTAATGAAAAGTTTTCTATAATCGGGGAGTTGGAGGGCTGTACATATGGATTTTTTGTAATTTCAAAGTGTCTAAAACGTACACAATTAAAATTAAATGCTAATATTAGCAACCGTTGTAAATATTTAATGAATTAAACATTTTACATCATCAACACATTAAACTAGTGTATAATGTCTTAAATAATGTCTTAATGTTCAGTCCACTATTGACTCGTTATTTCTTTTCATATTGGTTGCTTTCCCTTGCTCTCTTTTGCGCAATCCTTTCATAAATAATTTGTTCATCAATTTCAAAAGAAGATACAACACGATTCTTTTTCTATAATAAACCTCAATTTTCATAGAATACTATTCAATCGCCCAAGTATCAAATAAATAGTTAAAATTTAAAATAAATCGAGACATGTTTTCACATCATTTCATAGCTCATATTTTTTCATCAGAGATTCTCTTTTTTTTTTTCAAAAGAAACAATTGCTTCTTTCACAGATAAATTAGTACTTACATACAAATTGGCACTTATTTCTGATATACAAAAACTAGAGTAGATTTTATTCTTATATTTATTTAGCGTATGGTTTATGGTTACATGCATTATACTAATTATTATATGGTAACGTATAATACATTTAATTAATATATAACAGATGAATAAAAATAAAAATAAAACAAAAGTAGGGTACTTAGTAGTATGATCAACAGTGAGCAATATTAGAGGAATATTAGTAAAGTAACAAATAACAATATAGATTAACTATTAGTTAATTAATGAGTTAATTATAAGATTAATTATTAATAACATAACAAATAATAATATAGAATTTATTGTATTAATTATAGTTTTTGCAGGAATTCTTTTTTTTCTTTCTATAATTACCAGCGAATTTATTTGTTCATGTATGTGTGTAATTATAAATAAAAAATATATCAATTATTTATATATAAGTACAAATATACAAATTTAATATAATTATTTAAATTCATTTCGATGTAAGTATGTTAAAAAAAATCTATTAATAATCATAAATATTACTTAAAAAGATCAAATATTCTCAATTTGAATTTAGTAACTCAGATGTTGGAAGAAATTAAACATGGTTTCAGTGTGGATTACCATTCCAAGTAATCAGTTTAATGATATAACTTGAGTAATTTTGACTAAAATCTGTTACTGGTCATTATATTATACGTATATTTATACATAACAATCGAACATTTCTTCGGAAAAACAGTGAATAAAAGTTTATTACCGCACTCGCTGGGATAAAAGCGTAATAATATAAGACTTACTTCCTCGACTCACTTGTATTAAAATTCAGTTTTGACAGATCAGAGAAACTCTGACGCTTTTAAAAGAAAATAACTATCAATCATTCGACATTGTCTGCGATCCAACAGCGGAAATTTTCGAGACTTGTCGAGATAATAATATGACACGGCATACTAGACACTTGACTACATTGCACCTTAACTAATATCAACGAAAACCGTACACTAATACTGCTGTATTATATTGCTGTTAAAAAAGTATGAATTAATAAAACTAAAAATATCCTAGGAAAATTGTTGAGACACGTTATTTACGAATATAAAACGAACGAGTGTTTGAGTTTTTCCTACTAAAACAGGATTACTTTGGTATTTTGTAGGTCAAATAAATTTAATCAATGATCTGACTAGAGGGTTTTCATATTATAGATAATTCCAATGTAATGCTTAGTGTTTCGATATTTCAATTCGTTGGATTAATATTGTTTATTAGAGAAGAAATTATTTATTTAGACTAAACAAACAAGTGATCCAAAAGATCACTCGACTAACTCATGAATTCAATACAATAAATGATATGCATGCAGTAGCCAACTTTTTATTTGACATTCGATTGATTTGATTCACTGATCTATGATGATCTGTTGAAAAACAAGAAAATTAAATTAAAATTTTAATGACACTGATTACGGTCAACTCAGTGAAATTATTGACGTTTTGTTCTCAAATTGATATCACTACAAACCTATAACTGTACTTGTAAGTCTAAATATGCATAAGAAGAATCGATTGATTTTTGATGTACACAAATTAATAAGTAGAAATAAGAATATTATTTGACTAAACTTTCGATATTAATAATGGAATATTGGTGTTACAGAACGTGCAAGCAGTTAATGCGTAACTCGTACCTAATGCTGAACCAATTACGACTCAACCGAGACGAAACATTAACTGAGAAATCGTTTTAATACGAGTATCTGTGTTTGATTGAGAGTGGTTTTTTATTTTGTCATAGCACAGTATAGGTAGGCAGTGTACATAATAAGTACCTACACGGTTTTAATTGGACCATCTTTTTCTTCGTAAAACTGGTTTGTGTCGCACTGGTTAAGTATATTAAACGTGTCATATAGCAGTTTCGAAGTAGATTCGACCGGTTTAATGATAATAATTAATAACATTCATCACAACCTCGCCAACTGGAAAAACGATTCCAAAATAAAAACGCGCAACTTTTATTTTGTTCTCCGTACCACGAGGTGACATGTACGTGCGTGCGCGTGTTTTACACTTGAAAATCAAAATATTTACACTAGACGGATGACAATTCGCCAAAATGGCAATGGTAATGGTGCAACGGTGAAAATGTCGGCCTTTTAGACGTTTATAACGTAGTGTATTACCGATAGAGCGTTATTTTATCTTAACGATTATCAACTGTTTTCTTGTTGCCTATCTACGCACGTGCTCGTACCGGTCCCGTTGGCCAGGAATAGGCTTCTCGTACGAAAACGCCGTTCGTCGCCATCGATCAGATCGGTAACGAGCCGTCCGTTAGTTTTCGACACATTTCTTAAAATCTACCGACACCGTGACGTGTACGCGATGGAAACCGGAACAAAACACCGTACGCAAGAGGAATTCGAACGACAGGAACGCGGATCAGTCGGCCACGGCAGTTGGAAGGTACGTCGTCAAACGTTTTTTGGCCCAACGCAAGATGCGCTTCGGCAACCGCCGGTCGTCGTCACGTAAAAAAACGCATAAAATCGGTACGACGAAGTGAATTGCGATGCCAATGGAAGGGTTCCAAGACGACACGACAAACGCAATATCAATAATAATAACGTACACTTATTTTAATTACAAACGGATTGCGAAGCCCGGTCGCGTTGAAATTAATACAACCATAGCATCTCCCATTATGATTGGTACCCATCCAAGCGCGTATTAGTTGTAAATTATTTGATTTTTTTTTTTTCCCCCGCCGTCCATCGTATAATAATAAACCCATGTGATGGCAAATGTACATAAATCGTATGTTAATATGAAATAAAAAAAAATCGTTAAAACTGGTACAAAAAAAATAAATAAATATTATTAGAACACGAGGAAATATTCATAAATTTCAACTGAACGTTTCCCACAAATTGTTGAAACATTAAATCTAATATTGCTTTTCAAATGATTTTAAAGCGCATTTTGATTATTTATCATCGTAATAGTAGCATTATAAAAAATAAAATAAAGATTATCATATAATTTAATATCTATTAAGATAAATGATAAAAAACTTAATGATTAATATTGCATAACGACAAGCATACACACAATAGGTACATACATGACGTGTGAATATGCTCAGGTAACATTTTAACTGATTATTTATTTCATTTATTTACTATTATTATCATTTTTTTTTCTTTTTTAATCCAATACGTGTCACGTAGCTTTTGTACGATTTTTAGTCCGTTAAAATATTATGAAAATAATCAACGATTTAATCTCGTATCATTTTTCACAATGCATTTTATATTACATTATATATATATATATATATTATGCAGCATTACAATAATACTTAATTGGATAGAATATACTCCGACCGAACACGAAACAATAAACCATTGTAGTAGTGTTGCGCAATAATCACGCCAAAGAAATTTAAAACTCATCAATCTCTTATGGATTTTGCACTTTTCATACACACTTAGTTACGCACCTTTAAGTTTGATGATAATATCTTATTAAAGTTGTCAATAATATAGTTTAAATGCAATACATTTTTTTCACAAGTCAATTACTTAATAACGAGCTTATTTCAAAGAAATTCGATGATATTAACGATTGGTTTTCACATAATAATTTTTAAATAATATTCGGATGGAAATTTTATATAAACATTATTTTGTTGCTGGAAAATTTTTACACCGATCGCTAAAATTATTTATAAAAACTTAAAAACAATAATACCTGAAAAATTCAGGTTCAAAATGGTGTTGAAAACATTCTAAAATCATATTGATTAAATTCTAAAGAACTAGATGACGCCTAAAGGGAGAAGGGCTATACAACCCGTTCTAAAACTGACTCGTTCGAACTGGTCATTAAATAATCATAACATTTTTACATCATACGTTTTAACAGATATGATTACTAATGCTGCGGTTCTGCGAAGCTGAATAATAGCATTGTCGATTTTGATTTTTTACCAGCGCACAAAGTCGACCACTTTTGGTCGGAGCCGCGCATTCTGTACAATTGTGTTTTTGTGACGCTATTAGATCCGAGACATAATGATACAATTGCCACTGTTATACTGTAAGTATACTATAATGTCATTAACTAATACTGAACAATCAACTCCACGATAATTTTCCAACCATTTCCTCCACTATTTCCGGGAGTGAGGCCATCAATCGTTTCATCGGCCGTGCGTCGGTTCATCAGGTTGTAACAGTTCGCCACAGTCATAAACGCTTGCGGGTCTATCGTCACATCTCTACCATTGGTGCTCATAACGTTTTTTAAAATCTCTAGAGTTTAAACCACACGAAAACCATACGTAAAATGTACAATCGAAATCGTATCCAGTACAATATTTGATTTTATCTTCGGACTACTCCAAATTTTTATGTACTCGTGTGCCACGTTGACGCGTAGCTTACAACGGAAATATATTTAGATTTTAAAATAGAATCAATTAATTCAAAAATTAAATTGTTTTCAAATTTTCAAACGGAAGGTAATTCAGTACTATATTACTATATATAAATATAAACTATGACACATTTTCTGGTTGATATTTTAATATTTCCTTCAGTATAGCATAAAACAAGTTAACTACATGATAAATTAGTTATACTTGACTCTTAAGACTTTTACGTAAAAATAGCTTTACTCCAAGCGATTAAATAACCTTCGTGATTATAATTTTTATTAAACGAGATTTACCGCACACTTAATGTTTAGGCCTGGTGCGAAATGTGCCCGGTCACCACTTGAAAAGTATATTGTATAATTTTGTCACCGACCGACCCAATAGTTCGAATAGCAGTGGTCGGGGCTACCGGCATAGGCGCAATTAGGGTAAAAAAATCTGGGGGAGGGGGGCTACAGTCTTCCTACCAAAATTTAAAATAACCTGTAGATTACCCCTACCCCTATATACTATGTTAATATATTTTTGATTCTGAGCCAAGTTGGATTTACTGCAATGTGTCTTTTTTTCACTGTATACTAATTGAGTCCCTATACCTGAACGGGGAAAAAATAATATACTAATTGAGTCCCGGGTACAAACGAGACATATACTAATTGAGTCCGTGGTTAGGAAACTAATTGTATACGAATTGAGTCCGAGGATTATTTTGAGTAAAATATGAAATAACCATCCAGAGTCCAGGCACAGCGAAAATTATGAATAATAATAAAAATTATATATTTATTTTATAAAATATTAAAAAAAAAAAATTTTTAACCATACCTGTAGAATTTTTTGTTACAGACAGTCCTAAGTCTGTAAAAATGGGAAGAAAAATGTTTTTTTTTTTTAATTTTACGGGACTCAGTTAGTATTAAAACATGGACTCAATTAGTATTATACCTATAATTTCACTGGACTCAATTGGTTTATACCCTAAAACAACCCGGGACTCAATTCGTCATAAAAGGTTATACTGGGACTCAGTTCGTAAGCAGCCCTTTTTTTTTGTATGTGACACTATGGTGAGTTAAGTATGCTGTATGAGGTATGCCATGTAAAACATGGAATATTTATGAGGAGGGGCTAAATTTTTGTCCGGGGGAGGGGCTAAGCCCCCTAGCTCTCTCCCTAGTTGCGCCTATGGCTACCGGGTAAATACTATCGAACTACGTAATGCGTGTTGTGTGGCACGTGTTTTGAGTTATTTGTATATTCGTGTGTGTGTATGTGTGTGTACTTAAAAATTATAAGTAAAAAAATAATGGTAACTAAAATGAAATAAATCTAAAAATGGTATTAACATAATTCTCGGCCCTTCTAACCCAACAAAAAATAATAAAAATATAATTATATGGCTCTTTTGACACAATAATAAATAAAAGTATAAAAATAACAACTCACGATTTAGTAGAGCGCAGACTGCATACCTAAAACCTAAAAAAGTATACCTACAGTCTAATAAAGTGAAATCAAAAAAATTATGGCGATTTTAACACACTCAAAAATACGTAAAATAGTGACACGCGATGATTAGCGTACGCGATATTAAAAAGTATTGGACCCAAGGGGAATGGCGATTTGCACCCGGTTTTAAAGTGGTTATTAGCACACACAATATAATTATAATATAAATTCACAATTGCTATTTGAGCAGTATAAAGATGTATGGCGATTAGCTCACACACTCGCTAAATTTGTAAAAAAAATATATAAATCACACCTCGTTCTCGACCGATTCTCGCGGCGGTTGACATAAAACGATCAAGAAAAAATCACACACAAATAATTACAATAATACATACAACGCCGGACTTTTGGATTGCATAACTCATGATACGACAAATATTAAAATTAACTTAAAATTGCGTGTGTTTGTATGCCGTAATTGGGCGGCCGGTGACATTCAATGATAGATGCGCTTATGCAATTACGGTAATTTTACCGGTATCAATGGCTATTAATCGCACTATTCTATTATTCAATTATATTTTTGAGAGAACACTTAATATTTATATTAAAAATAAAAATAACCGACATGATTTTTGTTGTTAGTTATATCACATATATAAGCAAGAGTTGAATTTTATTTATATCAATATAATTGGACAAAAGTCTAGTCGACAAAAATGTACAACTGGTTGTTTAATCTCGAAACAGTGTGTATGTGCGTATGTGTGTGTGTTTGATAAGCACAAGACATTGGCGAACACATATGTTTATTACTCATAAATATTTATGTTGGTACAAGCTCAAAGTATGATTATATTACAAGTAAATAATGTTACGTTAACAACAAGTAAGTTAGGTACATTTAAATATTTTAAAAACTCTAACATAATACAGTACTATTATTCAGGCTTAGTTATGATTCATGAATTATAATTTATAATAACTAGTTAGCATTACTAATATGTGGCCATTAATTATACATTTACCTAGGTAATTTAAACATATTTACAAAATAATTATACAAGGTGACAATGCGTGTATTACGTACTATGTACGATGAACGTCAAGCAAAATTAATAGAACACATAAAATAGAAAGCGATATGATGTCCCAACTCTTGAGTTAACATTTTACGTATCGATAATTATTTTGTATTGTACATTTTCGAATTGTGTACAATTTTATAAATGTCAGTAAACTTTCAAACGAATTACTATCAAACACGGACCTCATATAGGCAACACATATTACATTTATGAACATTTATTGTGTACATGTAATATCGTAAGTATTTTGAAATAAAATATTATCGTAATCTGAAATAATTATAACTATGACTAGAGTAACAATTTCTCACGGTTATAGACTTATTTTATAAAAATAATAGTTTTATTGCTTTCAATCAACGAGTTTCGCTGGAATCAAAAAAAAAAAAAAAAAAAATTCTCTAATCGTTTCTTTTTATCAGATTTCAAAAAACGAAATGAAGTAAATTCATATTTAAATAAGTGAGTTTAAAAAAATATTTTGTTTGCTTACTAACGATTCAATAGTTCAAGTATTGTGTAATAATAAACAGATTTATTAATATTATATTTTAACGTTAAACTTGGCAGCATGTATTCACAATCTACCTGCGTTTTTACATTTTTTACGATCTTCTTTGCTGTTCGTGCAAACATTTTCACAACACATACAATTGTTTTCTTAAAGATCAGTATCTGAAAAAGATTAAGAAAACTGGATAATAAGTATACAGAATATAATAATAATATTTTATTTATTTATTTTTAATTTTTTTTATTAAAAATATAACACTTACAATTTGTACATTTTGTTTGCACACTAAGCAAACTTGCGGACACGATATAACATAAAACAAAATAAATATGAACAAGCGAGAAGGGAAGTTATCCAATGATAGAATCCTACATTTGATTAGGCCGCGATCTCTCGATCTAGTCACCAACGTATTTTAAACCGACGAGGAGGGTTGCCCGGAATCGTGAGAGAATATTGATTTAAGACAAGTGGGTTAGAACGGAAAGATAGTTAAGTGTAGAATTTTTTATAGTATATTATGGTTAAATTATCGATAGTATCAATAGTTAGGTCTTTATAAAGAGGATAGTTGCTAACATACTAAGGAGCAGAAGTAATTTGGTGAAAATAGATTGATTGGAAAGCTTGGATTTTTTTTTTAGCATCACCCCAGGAAAATATTTTTAAAAAATTTTGTTATATAAAATATTAAATTGGTATTTATTATTAGTAGTGATCTATTTTACAAATGCAGTTATTTTTCAGATTCTATAATTTAATAACTCAACTTCTTTCCTCAAAATTTTTCTTTATTCTTTATTTTAGATGACCATAACTGATGAATTTAAAAAAAACTATACACGTATATACTATTTTTTATAATTTTAAACAATGGGGTTTACATAAATATAGAGAAAATATCGTCTGATATTATTCTACAAATATATACAAAAATAATAATGACGTTACTAAATAATAAATCGTACTCGCTAGAACCAAACTTATATTCTGACATAAAAACAATATGAACGACATAGTATAAAAATAAGTAAAACTAAAAAATATTAAAACTTATATTAATATTATATTAATATATTTATATTAATTTATTTTATATTAATTTAATTAATTTATTTGATTAATTTTATAATTTAATTTATATTAATATACTTATATTAATCCTATAGCACATAGGGCTTAAAAAAAGTTTGTTTTAGTTGATATAATAATAATAATTTTATTTTATTTTTCGACCAGATATAAGTAGTAATGAAACACGATTTTAAACAAATGCCTAGCTCTTACCTAACTTAGAGTACACCGAATAAGTAATTTTAGTTTTCATTGCCACATCATTTTAACAAAAGTAAATATCTGCTTTGTGACTTAGAGAGTAAAATCATTGTGCATTACACATAGATACAAAATAATGATCGACCAACAGCTAACTTGGACTAAATAAAAAATTATTGTTACCACATTTTTCGTGTAAACAAGAAAATTCGCCCAAAATGGACTCTGAATAAGCCGGGAATTTTTGTATTTCGTCCTGTCTTAAATTATATTGCAGATAATGAACTGGATGAAAACCGAGCACTTGTCTAAAGCAAAATATGTCATGGGTGGTCTCATATGAAATTCTGTTTTAGCCAGTTTTTGCAGTACAACCATGTGCATGGGAATATTCATCCGACCGAACTGTTCGATCACACGTTAATCGCGGTGGTAAATTGACTAGTTCACCGGGAAATGGCCAGCTTTCCAACTCCTTTTTTACGGGAACAATCGTGTATTCGAATATTTTGATTTCAGATAAAAATAAATCACGATTTTCGGTTGCTGCAATACGTCGTGTTCTCGCAGGACGCGCAAGTAATTTCAAACGGAACTCAAGGCGTTTGCACATAGTATTGTCTAATGTACGCGAAAACGGCGGAAAACAAAAATAATTACACACCGCCGTCGTCAGTCTCAGTCGTTGGTACCGGGTCGTTCCACCATTGTATCGATGTCGACGCCAAGACCAAATATATGGAGTTCGCTACGATCACTACGCCGCCGCTTATCCAAAACACGTTACGCCATTCCAATAAGGTATTCTGCGAACAAAAACAACAATTGGTGATGTAATACTATGTAAATCGACGACACGATAACGTTGCGCTTCGGAAACCGTCACTTGATTACATTTGGTATTAGGTATCCGATGAGAGGAGGCGAAACGATCCCGGCTACGGCTCCGACACCGTTCACCATGGCCATCGCAGGGCCCGCGTAATTCGGGGTCAAGTCCATTACGTTTACTTTCATGCTCGAGTAGAAAAAGCCCATTGTCGCCATACCGATGGTGAACAACACGACCACTTTTAACTTGTCGCAACCGGCATACGATGCGGCCAACGTACCCAACATGGGCCCGATACAGGCTTAAAAAAAAAAAAATTACGTCAACGGCTCAATGTTACCGAAGTATTACTCTGCAACAGACTCTGTGGCTACGGTCATAAAACGGTGTGTGAATCCGTATCACGTTATTTGCAATCAAAAATAATACCTAGTTTTATATTTACGTAAGAGTATATTAGAATTATTAATAAAGTACACGTGTATTCAAAAAATCATATAACTGTACTCGAATTATTGTATACCATAATATCAGACATAAAATGTAAATCTTATTTTACAAAATTAAAATTAAATGATTAATAATTGCGTAAAAATATTATAAATGTGAATTGAGGAAAATAAAACTCGAGTAACTACTGATAGTCAATACTTATTTTGGTAATGTTTCAATTTATGTACTTACATAAACGTTAAAATTTAAAAAACAATATTTGCATTTAATTACAATCAATGTTGAAGTCTAAGAAAAACGGTCTGTAACTAGGGCTGCGGGATTTTTTTATTTTCATAAAATTATTAAAGTAGAAATTTATATCGATTGCAATCGATTATTTTTTATACAATTATATATCATGATGAATTATTATAATTTAATAAATTATAATCAATAATAATTGATACAATTTTAAAATAAATTAAGTATTATTATCTGAGAATAAAGTTTAAAGACTAAACTGATTATTTGATAATTACACTTGATAAGAATACAACTAGGAAAGCGAATAAAAAATTATTTAATTTTTCCTGTAAAAGAAAACAGAAACCAACTCAATAAAGTATATTTACGATGAAACAAACGCGTTCATGTAATAATGGTAAAAAAAGGATTTTAAGCTATAAATATCAATATTTAATTTAAAAATTGTACCTTTAGTCCGTGACCGTTACATGAATATTTTATAATTCGTATTCGTAAAATATTTTTAATTACATAATGTAAAAATAATCTTGATTATAATTTTTTTCGATTATTTTTGATTATAACCAATGTTAATTAATAATCGACCTTCTCACCTTTTCGATTATATCAATTATTTATAAAGCATGGAAAATAATCAAATAAAATTATCGATTATTGAATAAAAAAACCGCCCAGCCCTATCGATGACTATATTTCGGTCTCCGTTTGTACGAAAAACGCTCAACAGTATAAAAAAAATATTCCTCGAAGTAGTTTTAGTTTTTAAACTGATTTTTCAAATCCATTCATTATAAAATAAGTAAACATGGAACATAATTTTAATTGTCTTCGAAACATGGATTTGCTTTTTCGTATTATAATTTCATAAATACAATATTAAGTTGAAATACGGATTTTTTTTTTGATTTTTTAGATTAATTTAATAATAATATACCTACCTATAGTTGAGAATAGTCGTCTCTGTTGCAATATTTCTAATTTGCCATTGGATATCAAATAGTCACTTAACCATCCTGTCAGAATAGCGAATAACCACATCAAAAGATGTGGCATTGAGCTCCACACGCCAGTCTAGTAAAACATAAAATGTACAATTATAATTACGATTTTAAACTGAACGTACGACGGATTTCGTATTTTTATCTTACAACAATTCATAATGTACCATATTGTATACATTAATCCGATAAACGAGCGCAATTTAAGAACACAAAACATACAACTTTAATAAAACACGCATTATATACTATATTGTTTTGATTTAATGTGAAAATCGTTCGGTGATTCGTTTTACTCACTTCTGCGATAGAAAACTTCATGACACTTTTCATGTACTTCGGCAAATCGGCATTTATCATGAACAAAGCCCAGTCGTGCGCGATTTGACCGATCATCAAACCCCACATGGGACCCGATGACAACATGGCCAACCACGGTGTGGACTTCAATTTGTTCTAAAGGCGGGAATAGATATAACTTTGGAGTATTATGAAGTTAAACCACTTTATCCGAAAACACGCTTACCTTATTTCTGTTTACTCCTTTTAGATTACGTTCCAAGAACGTAAGCTCATAATCGGTTATCGTAGGATGTTCGTTTGGCGAACTATAGACAAGGAAATTCCAGAACGCGTACCATATCAACGCCACAGCACCGGTAAGGTAAAATACTAAAGGCCAATTGTCATCGGTGATTTTGAGCAAATACCCAGCAGAACTTTGGGCGACAATCGTTCCGATCATGTTGCCTTAAAAAAAAAAAAAAAAAATTAAAAATGTATAATATAATGGTAACAACCGTTGATAACAGTTGAAACTAATTTTTACATTCATCAGTATTTACCTGCATATACAAACGAACCGATACGTGATCTTTCGCTAATAGGTACCCATTGGGCCAACAATGCGTTCATTGCCGGTATAGTAGGACCCTATTCAAATAAAAGTCATCATATATTAGATTAAATTAACTCCCAAAAATTAGATATTATTCTTTGGGAATTGTAACGCTTGATAAATATTTTAACTACTTACGGTTAAATAATTTTGTTAAGTTAAATATTCAACCAAAAAAATTAATTCCAAATTAAATTTATCAAAATTTATAAAAATTTAAGACAAACAATAAGTCAGTAATAGTTATATCTGTTGTAATAACAGACTATTAAAGTTATCACCCCAACATACTTAGCCATTATCCATTTTTAACTCGTCCAATATCTCTTTTAATATTCCTAATATATTCTCAACCCAACACAAAAATATAATAATACCTATACTATTTTTTAACCAGACAAACTATTTAATATAACTTTAAAACCATTTGTCACTTTGAAATTTTTTATTTTTATTTTTAGCCCAATAAATTATTATACAATGTATAATATACATACGTATATATTTTAACAAGGTATAATTATTCTAATTTTCAACAGTAATTAATTGTAGGGCAAAATTAAAGAAAAAAGTAATCAGCTTATTATTTTCCAAATATGAATTTTAAATTTATTGTTATTTGGATTAATATTATATAATTTTAACCATATAAAAACAATTACTTATTATCGATTTAAAAATTAATAATCGTACTCTTCGCTCGTTTTGTATTAAAAATATTAGTTATATAATCGATTTGTAACAATCAGTGACGTACGCAGAAAAAAGTTTTGGGGGGCATTTTTGAAAATCAGAACTTTTTTCAATAAAAAAATGAAATTTTACCATGAAAGACTTATAATATACTTACATTACTTTTTTTTTAAATATAAATATATATCATATTAAAAAAAATCACAAAACTAAATCTAATTTTCGTGAAGTTTTAGCCATTATGTTAAGAATATCTTCACAATTAATTTCTATGTCTCTATGTACATTTAACAATGTTAATCCATTTAACCTTTCTTCACCTGTTTTATTACATAAATACGTTTTCAACCTACGAAGGGAAAAAAACAAGTATTCACTTGTAGCTACGAATACTGGCAGAGTAGGTAAGTAAGATAGAAAATAATTTCAAGATATTACGAAAAACATATCAAAAATTTCAAATGCATATTTTTGAATAATTCTTAATTTTTAGATTTAAGAGCTCTTTACATATTTGTCCGAATGAACATTTAGTGTAAAAAAGTAAAATAAATGTGCATATTTTTAAGGCAATTTTTCTTCTTTTTTAAGCGCATAAGTGCATGTTTATTTAGTACTTTTTAAAAAAAATTCCGAACCCAAGAAATAATGTATGTACATTGTACAGCAATGTCATAAAAACCTTAAAATTAATATTAAGATTGTTATCGAGCATAACTCACCAAATATTCTAAAACCAAACATTTCGGGAGGTGTTAGAACACTCAAAACACCTCCATGTGTACGTGCCTGGTAACATTTGATGAATACAGATTTATGAATTGTAAATACATTTGTTAAAATTTACATATTAAAGAACTATTAAAATAAATTATTTTTTCACACAGTACAACAAACAAGTTAGTTCCGTAAATACATCTTAATCCATCAAATTAATATTTCATATGTATATTTTGGCATACATAATTATAAAATACAGTGTAACCCGTTTAAAATGCTCTCGCTTAAGATGATTTTTTATCATAATTTAAATTGTTTTTCCTGTGTAAATAATACGATTTCCCGTTTTATACACTATTTCTAAATGGTTAGGAAAACTAGAAACTAGGAAAGTGTCTTAAGCGGGTTATACTCTAATTTATTTTCATAAAACAATGATCTAACCAATTTTATTGACACGTGAATACGTTTATTTAACACGTGAATACGTGTTTAGTCGATCACTGTGTACCTATCTACTTATAATTGTTCATTAAACATGGTAATTATAAAATAATAATTCATGCTGTATTGTATTGAAAAATGATGACCTTTATGAAACAGTGATTAAATGAATAACATTGAATAATATTTATCTCACGCTATTGGATATAATTAAACGTAAAACGTTTCGTAAACTTCATCCGCCATTTCCGGATAAATTCTAACATAAATTATTGTGTACTGTTATATACACTGTAATTATTCTATCAACGCACTAATACGAATATACCGATACTAATAAATATTTGTTTAATATATTGAGACTGAACATGTCTCATCAAAAACTGTTGGAATTTCAAAAGTTGTAATCAAAGTAAATAAAGTTGTAATCAAACGCAGGTCTTTGTTTAAATAATAATACTATGGTTTGAATAAGTGTGCCGTTTTGGACTCCGTATTTTTAATTTTTTTGATTACAATTTTTAAAACGCAGGTAAGAGGTGATGGTTTATTATGTTGACTAATCGTGTTACTTAGGCCATTGCAAAATGAGATGCATTATTATTTAACATTTTAGCGGGATTTTTACCGAATTATTGAATAGATTTATCTCTAAATGAAACACTTGCTTATACGGTGAACTATTGATAATTTATGCGCACAAAATATATCACAATCGTAAAAATATCAGGAATTTATTATCTTTGAATTACTGAGAATTCATTGCTGATCCTTGTTTGCAATTTTCAGCTTTCCAAGCAAAGGAATGTGTTGATAATGAAATCATTTTTTAAATTTTTTTTTGTCATTAACACTTTTTCAGAAAAAAAAAATCCGCTCCAAACATCCTTTAATTTAGGCATGCAATTAGTTGTATCTCAATACAAATTAATAATTTACACAAGCCATCATTCAAGTTCTCTAAAGCCACGTCCACACCTAGCAAACATCTGAGGAAACATTGTTTGTTGAATGTTTGTTGAATGTTCCTCAAACGTTTGGCAAATATTTGTTGAACAATTTGTCAAAATAACAAACATTTTATTTGTTCGCTATAATGTTTGCTCAATTCATTAATCTACAGTTTTGATTATGGCGTCTCTAGAGCAAGTTACGTGTGTAGGAGCTGCATTCATAATTATTCATAAACAGTATAAAAATAAAATGGAGGATAGAAGTAATAGACGATGGTGGGTAAGACAACTACTACAACGCCGAAAAACTTATAGTAGTGAGCGTTATTTTCATTCACAAATATTAATTAACTTTTTTTTGTATGTTAATATATAGTACCACTAATTATATAGTACCAGTGGTGGTTTTGACCAAACTTCAAGAAGGGGACAATTTTAAATATCAACCCCACTGCCAAGTGAAAAATTCAAATAATAATTAGTAAATAAACAGTTATTTATATGAAATCATTTTGTTTCTCACAAAATGTATGCTACAATATTCGAATAATTAGCAAACAATTTTGTTTAGGACATTAACAAACAAAATTGTTTGGAAACATGTCTATAACAACCAAAGATTCAACAAACATGTTGGTTGGATATTTTGGATGTTTAACGAACGTTTGACTAAACGTTTGTAAAATGTTTGTTAGGTGTGGACACGGCTTAATAATCATCTGATTTCACAAACAAAAAAAAAAAAAAAGACGACACTTCAAAGCCGGATGAGAAATAAAGACGAGTGAATGGTACGTATTAATCGGCTTTTAAACTTGAAACCAATGTATCTTTGCTCTCAAAATAACAATTCTAAGTATAAAAGATGAATCAGTTTATATTTCTAAAAAAGGTTGTTCTAGCAGATGAACCAAATTTCTCAATTAGGTAAATTGAACTTTTAATATTCTTTCGCAAAAAAAGATAACTAAAATTTGGAAAAATCCGAAATTTCAAATACTTATAAATAGGTAAAATATCATTAAAATAATTTGAAACTGTAAAATATCTTTAACTAAATAACTCATATAGTTAAATGGAAATTTGTTGAAATATCCAACTTCGTCAACACTTCATTTTAGATTAAAAGTTGTTTTTGCGACTTTCCAATGTTTTTTTTTTTTTTTTACTGCAAAGAAAATCGTAGGAAAAATCTTGTATTCAATTTCCAAGCCCCACGTATAAAATTGAAATTTTATGAGTTTTGAAGTTCAATAAATAGAGAATTTTTGTAATTCTTATTGTTTTATTAAAATTTAATATTTAAACGTTCATAAATGTTTTTTTTCTTTTTGTATTAAGTTCGATTAATTTTCTTTAATCAGTCTTTAATTTTCTTTAATCATATGTATGAGGAACTTTATAATAAATTTTTACATTTTAGAACTTTTTGTCAAACCAAAATTAATTAATACACATTTTCGAAAAAAATTCTTAGAAAACTCAATACCCTAAAAACCTCACAATTTGAAAATGAAATAACCTATAACAAACGGTAGTATAAACATTCAGTAAATATTGTATGCAATGATTTTTATTTTTTTAGTTATGATAAAGGCTAAAATTTGATTTTGTGAAAAACCGGTATACTCTAAATTTTGCAATTGTAAATTTTAAACAACTTTTCGTATGTTTTTGACAAATACTTAGAAAACTGTTGGAAAATTAGTAAAATGACTCTCAAAGTATCAATAAAATAACATTTTCTATCAGAAATGTATTATGATTATGATGATTGGAGTAATCTTACTGGTCAAAAGTATATACAAAAACTCAAAAATAATAGTAAATGATAAAATTATATGCGAATATAAGTGATCAAGAAAATCATCAAAGATCAAATCTCGTTTGAAATTTTTAGTTTTCTTAAATGTTTCTCTATTATTCTTCTATGTTCAGAAAACTTGAGAAATTCAAAAAATTACTCTTTGAAAGTACCAAATAAATGTAATTTCCTATCCCTTGCTTGTTAATTCGTGATGATCGAAGCTCTCCTTCCGGTCAAAATCATATTCACAGATACACAAAAAATATACTCCTCGTTTCGTTTAGAATCTAAAACAGTGTAATTTTATCCAACATTCACTTATACTTCTTTACGTACATCAAATAATTGTTTTTAATATGGCTTGAAAATGTTATTCTGTTTATGTAGTGTGCAAAATTAGAAAATTTGAATGTGTGAATTTTTTTTAAAAAAAATATGTAAATGCTAATGAACATGCTAAATTTTTATTATAAACGTATGGCATTTAAACACGTTTAGCTATAAACTATATGCGATATTGTTATACTTAGTTGTAACAAGGAATATTATTGAAATTTACCAACAGTGACAGATTTCAACCGAACAGGTGATGCTAAAGAGTAGATGAGTATTTTTAAATAAATAATGACAGAATATAGTATATAATTTTGCTGAATATTTTTTACATATAATACTAATAATGGTAAATTACCAAAGTTAAGTAGAAACACATATAAATTAAACACAATACTCTTAACTTTGGCAATAAATTATAATTTTCAAAACACTGCAAAATTCAAACAACATACCTATAATTAACGAAATTATTAAACGAAAGAATTTACGAACGAGATTTACGTCTACGTAATAAAATCGTGGACTGTAAGAAACACTGGTTTTAATTATATTTATTTGAGAAATATTATTAAATATGTTAGAACTAAGGGTAGTTTGGCTGCATATTATGAGGAGGAATCACTCCTAGACGATTTTACTATTTCACTATTTCACATTTATGTTATTTTTTGTCTTTTTCTCTTACGGCCAAAGTTTTTTTATCGAACCGTTTTGAGATATTTTTAAGAAAAATACATGAACATTTCAAATTACAAAAGATATAATAATGAATAAAATAGTAAATCGAGGTAATCAAACTAGTTTGCTTCTTTGGTACAACATATTCATTTGAATAGTCACTGGTTGGAACTTAGGACTTTGTGGTTAGTATGTTAATATAATGAACACTATACATATTATAAAAGAAAATGATTCACGCATTATGGGATATCATATTCAATTTGTAAGCCTAATATCGATGCTATATAATATATATGTGAAAAGAAAAATTCGAATCATAAGAATATTAATTGTTTTGTGAAACTTATATATTTTTATCAAACTTTTTTCTAGTTGTTAAGTAAATAAAATAAATTGTAATATTTTTACAATGAAGTGTTTGTCATTCGCCACACATTCAGTTATAATAAGTGAACACAAAATGACAAATGCGTATTGTATAAGACCATATATGTTATATGAATAAACATTTTGTCGGTCTTCTCAATAGTCTGCGCTCAAATTGAATAATATACTCTAAATGACTTCTAGCGACTATTTATATATAGTTTGTTAATAAAAATAAATTCATGTTATATAGTCATATGGGGTAAAAATTTAGGTCAAAACTTAGCTAATATAAACTTATTACACTCCGAGTGTGATCATTTATCATTACTGTCAGATGCATATGAGTATCAGCAAAAAAATTAAATTCGAAACCAGTATTTACCAGATTTTTTTTAAACTCTATAATTTTGGTATTATTTTATTATAAGAAGATTCGAAACATTCAAAATTTTTTGGAATTTATTTAACTGAGTGTTTTTTGGCTTATATAAATAGTACAATTGTTAAAACACTTAATTTCAACTATTCATAGAACTGTATTTGGTTTGGGCTATCAAGATGGATAAGTTTGCGGCATAAGTTAGCTTTTATTCTTAATTATTTACCACTACTATCAAAAAAATTGAATTATCCAGGTAATTTTGTTTTGTCCATACACGTGTAATTTGCCTGGATTTTAACTTAATGTAGACTTAATTTATTTTCGATAAATGCATACATTAGCCATGCAACACATTTAAAAACCTAGCGGTGAGGTGACGACGGATAACGATCGATTTGTGCAACGGTCCGTCAATTATTTATCTCATTATGAAAATTACACCGTTGTGTATAAAGTAATTAAATAACAACGTTTATGCAAAATATTTATAGTCACGAAAACGTAATTGTAAAAACGATTGAATAGCATTTTTAGTACTTAATATACTTACTTCGCCGATACCTTCAAGTACTCTAACACCAATTAGGTATGCGGGTCCAATTCTGGCGGCAATGGGCGTTAATATAGTGAGCACGGAAGTCAGGAAAATACCAATACCGAACACGTGTTTTCCACCGTATCTCTGTGCCAGTATACCACCAGGTATTTGAGCGAGCACGTATCCGTAGTAGAAAGCACTCAAAATATGACCTTGGAGTGTTTCAGACCAATCGAATTCAGCGTTCTGCAAAAAAATATTTTTAAAAATTATTTGTAACACGTCAATAATATAATTTTAAATCATTAATGTTTTTAAAACAAACGAAGAGTGACACTCGGTGTGTACTCCCGAAACCCCTAGCATGAAATCAAGGAAAACAATGTATTAATATTATAAGTAAATATATCGAAGGATTGCAAATAATTATATTATAGGTAGTGCACGGAGAATAATTTAATTCAGTTAAATAAAAAATAAAATAATAGTTCCTATAGCATGATTAATCAATAATGACTTTTACATGAGTAATCTTACGTATGAATTAAATATTACATACCGGATTTGTCGTGTTTTTCATGTTTACCGGTCCTGGACATCCATTAGGGTCTATAACCGTTTTATGTATATCCTCTACCATTTCTGTAATAGCCACACTGAGTACGGATCGCATTGCGTACGCGTTGGCTATGCCAATGAATCCCATAATAGCTATCACGTATCTCTTGGAACAAGCACCTACATTGTATACACAATTATATAAATTCCAGTTGATAACATTGAAAACAAAGAATTTGGCTTGCAAATAAACAACACAACTAACTGTCTATAATCGATCTAGCCTCCGAAGGCCTCCTGTTTTTTGATTCCATGGTTGAGTCTTCTATTTATCTAAAAAATCATAACAATAATAATTATTATGTTTCACAATGTAAGCTATCTTACTCCCTATCCATCTTACAACCCTGTCCCACTCGAAAACTTATATGGGCGTAGAATTTATTCAATTACAATACTTCAAATACGTCAGATATTCAGCCATCAGTTTCGAAAAATAATAATATTAATTGTTATACTAATAATAATAATTGTCGAAAATCCGCATTAAATAAAAAATACAGTCGGAACAACAACTGATGAATATTGATTGTAGTATATGAACTTATATTTCGTACATTATGTAACCGTATAGCATCAGTATAGTTAATATATATCAAACATGGTAAAACGGTATATTCATACCCGTTCTCTTTAACAAGAAATCTATTATTCGACCTTATCGTTCTAAACATAATGACACTCGTAGGTCATATAAGACAGGCATTTGCATTTTACGTTGTGACACTAAAATATAAAATAAGGTGCGCATATGGAACACAACTTCCAACTGAATTCGGCATCCACTTAAAGAAAAATTAATTTAAAAATTTAAGTTACTTGAAAAATTTGATGATACGATAATATAATAATGTCCTAAAAATAATTAACGTAATAACATTTTTAATTATTTGAATGAAAAATAGTTTATAGTTTTTATTTTACGTCTATATATCTTAATTCGTATTTCAAATAAAATAATAGTATAGAGAGTAACATCAAGGTCGAACATTTTAGTTCGGTAAGCTCAATAAAACGTATTAGAAACATTAACATTCAATATCAAAATTCTTATTCTAAACCAACAGACATCATAATATTTTAAAGTAAAAAAAAAACCATTTCCCCGTATAATTAAGCAATAAGAATTCAAAAAGCAGATTTCCATACGTTGTTCTCCTATACCAGGGATTCCCAACCTTTTTTACTTAACGGCACACTTGATCATTTTAAAAATTTCCACAGTACACTTAAATAAATAATAATGAATATACATAATGTCATAATTATATATAATGTATTATAATATAATTATATTAACATAATATATATAATACAAATTTAATTTGACATTTGAGACTGGTGTTTTTTACATAATTCCTCTATTACGGGTGAAACAGTTGAAACGATACAAACCGTTAAAGGATAATCAATGTCACCATTCCATGTAAATCCAAAACATAAATAATTATCAACATATTTACGTTTAATTTTTAAATTTAAACTTTTATCACTTATTAAAGCTGATTGTTTAATATTAATTTCAATATTTAAATTGTTGTCATTTGCACTAACATCACTGTCATCCGTTAATTTACGCTTTTTTAAAAATCTATCCATTTTTAAATTTAACTCACAATATTTCTTGATCAAAATACCTATTCAGTATAATGCGTAACAATTACACGCGCTCAATTTTCATTGTAATGAGCACCAGCTATGTTTTCATGTTGTCATTTTAGTATGTGATAAAAGTCAACGCAACTGCTTGTAATACCCGTATCGGGTAGTATAGGGTTCCATATAATATTATAACTGTTTTATCAGGACATTTTATCATTTTTTATTTTCAAGGGAATTTTGAAGTCAATGCTATCATAAATATAAATTATAATTTTGATTATTATGTTTAGTAATGCTTAAAAAATTATGAAATTACAAAAATTATACGGCACACCTAAATAATTTCGAGGCACACTTGTGTGCCGCGGCACTGCGGTTGGAAATCGCTGTATTATAGGCTTCTCCATCGGACGTATTTTGTAAAGTTATAGCCGTAAAAAAAGTTTTTTCTTTTCCCATTTTAGTATATAACACTCGTATTCAGGGGCGGACATTTCCCGGTGGCCCAGCCTAATAATTTATGTCCATAACCTGCGCTTGATTTAATCTGGAGACTAAATTAATTATTGACAATACGTAATATTTTATATATTTATATTATAATATATATTCATATATTTATTAAATTTTAGATTCAAAATAAAGCGAAGAAGCTTATGGTGTTATTATGATGTTTATTTTTATTATTATTTTTTTTTTAATAGGTATATAATAATAATATGAAAATATGGAAAAATATTCCTTCGATTGATACTTATAATACAGTGTGCAGTGTTTAGTAAGTTTTTACTTTTTAATTTACTAAACTTATGAGTTATGATAAGTTATGATAAGACCGTCAAAGTCTTATAGTACTTAGTATTATAAATGGCTCTCATTCTATAAGTAAATTTATTTTAATACATTATTAAAATCATATTTCTAAAACTTTTAACATTTAGATTCTTTGTATATTGTTAGAAATTGCAATCTGTGAAAGATTAGATAATTATCCAATAGAACGTGTATGTTACAAAAATAGAAATTTTCAGGAGAGCCATACAACTGAATATATATCATTGAAATCAGTGTATGTTGCGCTACGTTACAATCAATTTTCGGACTAATTAATAAACTTCTATGTATACAATATGTGCCATAATGTGTTGACAACACTAAATTACTATATAGTATATTAATTTACGTAATAAAATGGTTTTTGAAAATATTGTAACATACACCGATCTCATTGATAGGTCTTCAATTTATGATTGCAATATTGATTATTTATATTGCACTAATTTTAATTTAAAATTCTTTGTTTTCACGCCCACCATAAGTTATTATGTATTTACCAAGTTCAATAAGTTGGTATGATTACTATTTACATTTTATACGATTTGTACCATAAAATAGGGTGAATAGAAACACTTTCGAACTTTACTTAAATACAACATTTGATGTAAAAGTATATTAAAAAACTGAATTATAAAATATTTTGGTGTCTATAAGAGCTGTATGATTTCAGAATTATCTTTTCTGCAATTAAAATTTAGCTATAATATTTTTGTCATGTTTTTCTTTTTACCCATTGAATGATGAATAGTAAAAAACAATCCTTGCAACAATATGTATTGTAATATAAAACATAAATTTAAAAAAAAACCACATAAAAAAGGCTAATAATTAATTTTGATATATATATATTTTTTTTTAATACAGTATAAATTATTTATATGTTATTAATAAAAATAAACATAATAGCATATTTTACGTCACTTTAAGTCTACATAAGTTAACAAGTGATTTTAAAAATAAAATAATACTCATAGATATAATTGAATAAAAATTTAACTAGGGGTATAATGAAATTACAATATTTTTTAATTTCTTTCTATTTACAACACCGCTTCCATTCATTCCATTTTACGGCATAGGTACATTCATTGTCAAGATTTAAATATTTAATGTCATTAATTCGATAATAGTTTTTTATTTTAATTGCCTTTCAATTTTGAATGGTAGGTATCAAAATATTCATTATGAAGTACATACTAGTAATTACTTTTTTTATACATAGAACATAATATTTTTTTTAGAAAATAGCTATCTTTTGTTATATTAATCTAATTTTTGATATTGGTTCTCAAACAAGCTGTACAAATATTTTACACAGCTACCTACCCACCCTATATAAACCTTATACTAATCTTAAAAATAATAAAGATTGCACAACGTGCTATTTTTAATAAAATTATAAGATACAACATTCGTAAAAATGTAAGACCGTATACTATCATGTAAGAAATATGTATGGTATTTTATTTATTAATATGTTTTTATACTTGGTGTACTAATAGATACTTTGAATTAAGTAATTTTTTTTTTTTTTACTTCTTTGCGAGGAATATTAAATAAAAATTTTATTGCAAATATTCATTGTCCTTCGTATTTCAATGGAAAATTATACAAAAGTTATTACAAATTCTGTATAAGTTTCATGCGGTAAGAATTATTACGCAAACACAATGCGTAGGTATTCATTATTTTTAAATAAAATCAAAGAAAAATCTTACCTTATTCGATAAAACGTGCATCAGTTTATTACAAAGAATGTATACTATAATTTCTCTTACAATAATTTATGAGTATTAATTTATTTTGTTTTCCTACAATACGATTGTATAATTTGTATTTAATACATCTATATATGTACAGTGGCGTATCCAGAAATTTATCAATGGTTATTAAATAAATGTAACATCATTTTCCGTGGTAATAATAATGACTGTCAGTGCCCGTGGCGAACTCAAAAATTTTCAGAAGCAAGTATATTTTGTCGATACCCATCCACCCACCAAAAAACCGGCCGCCTCTTGATTACCCACATTTCCATGCCACTGATAATGAATATTCATTGTTTATTATAAAATGTTTGACTAAAATTGTAATCCCAAAGTTCATTACTGATTAACTATTTACTATTAATGTTATCTCCAACAACCTATTTGTGCCAAATTTACCCACGTATACATTTTACAAGTCCTATCGTAAACGGGCACGCAACATAGGCAACATCGGGTGTCCAAAATTTTTCAAGTTAGAATTGCTTGGAATAGTTAGATATATTCAGACATAAAGAAATTGTACTACTTTTACCTAGAGCCTCGCAAAAGCTTGCAATGGCACTGGATTAATGACTTGGCTTGATTCATATATTTTAAAGCCATCATGTCTTTATTATATGTTAAAGACATAACAACACTTTATTATAAGTTATTTTTATAATTATAAAACAAAAAATAATATGATATGAATATATACAATACAAATAGTTGCATTTAATTACAATAAAGTTATGATGAATTCAGTGGTGTATACATAACTTTTAATGGGGGGGGGGGGGTCATTTCCAAACAAATCATTATTTTTATTTTATCATTTTTTTTTTTTTTTTTTACGTTTCTACACTCGTTTTTTTTTACGCTCTCGCACTAATAACATTATTTTATAATATTTAAAAAAAGGCTTAAGAGGGATCTGACCCTCATATCCTCTCTTGTATACGCCACTGAGTGATTTATTAAACCAACTCATTATTTATATTTTATTATGATTTATTTTGATTGAATTTTTTTTAAAAATAATTGAACTATTGATTATGATTTAAATAAAATTGTATAATTGATTAT